CTTTCCCTCTCATATTTTACCTGCTTTGGGATTTGGTTTTAACTCCAGACTTTCTTGATCCGTTGCATCCAAAATCTTGTATTTGCTTTTTCTTTTGGATTTTCCTTTTCGTCTAAAGGGGAAGAAAAAGAATTAAGAGACAGACCATTTCTAAAAAAGCCAGAAGAAAAAACAACTCTGACCTTCAAAGAGTACTTGCTTATTTCAGATTATGTTTGTATCACAAAGCAAAACATTGAAAACGTTGCTTCAGTTGCACATTTATAGGCTAAGCCAAATCTTGCTTAACTGAACCCAGAGTTCTAGGACTCTAATGCTTCACTTGAAACACTGGGTGGCAAAACCCAACATCCCAGAGCTGAGCAGATGACCTGCTGGGATGATGGGTTTGAATCTTTCACCTCCTAAAGCAGCTACTTGGCTCTGAAGCACTGACTCAGGGAGTGGTTAAGGCTCAGTCTCACCTCTTGCAACAGCAGATCACCATCCAGGACAGGATTCCAAAGGCAACCACAATGAGGAAGGATGCAATGATCACATACAGCACACTCCACTCTGAAAGCAGAACACAATGTTTTGGCACCTCATACTGTTGCAGTCTGCACTTTAGATGACTGTTATTGAGAAGGAAGAAGAAAGGCCTGACCCTTTCCAGAATGAGAGGCTAGCATCCCCCACTCAGGGAAGTCAGGGGCTTGAGATCCAGTGTGTGGATTCTCTGCACAAAGGCATTTTTCAAGGTGTGTTAATTTATAGAACCACAGAATGCCAGGTTGGAAGGGACCTCAAGGATCATCTGGTCCAACCTTTCTAGGTACTACTCTAGTTCATATGAGGTGGCTCAGCACCCTGTCAAGCTGAGACTTACAACTGTCCAACATGAGGGAATCTACCCCTTCCCTTGGGAAACTATTCCAACGTTGGTCTGTCCTCACTGTGAAAAATGTACCTCTGGTGTTCAACTGGAATCTCCCCAGGAGCAACTTGTGCCCATCACCCCTTGTCTTTATAGAACTCACTTTCCTTTGGCAGGAAAGGCTCTGCAGGGGCATGACAGAAAAGGTGTGATTTATACACCAAGAAAGGACACAACTCTTAGTGTTCATTGAGAGGGTCCAAAGAGGAATCACTTCCCTGTCAAGGATCACCTGCCTAGAAGGTGACGTGTAGTTGGACCAGGGCAAGGACTGTCTCCTCGTGGGAGCACCATGTCAGAGACACCCAGAAAGTGCTGGTACCTGTTACTCTGCCCACCCTGGGTTTCAAACACCACCTGCTTTCCAAATCTGAGCAGTTGCAGGGGCTGCACATACCACAGTTGCTCTCGCCGTCACCCATCTGCGCCCTGAGGAAGTTCTCCATCCAGAAGGGGTCGCAGACGCAGCGCTTGGTGAAGGAGTCGCAGCGCCCGTGGTCAGAGCAGTTCAGCTGACAGGCTGGGGACCAGAACCAGCAGCTCAGCAGAGGGAACAAGGGGACAGACAAGTTCAACGTGGCCAACCCCCCCAGGCTCCAACTTCAACCTGGTCCCTCTGCCAAACTAAAAACTAAACACCCCACTGACAACGTCGCACACGTAACACGCCGAGGACGTTTTGCCTAGGAAATCATGATTATTCATATAAAAGCCATGGAATTTGTGTTCTTGTTAAGGAAACGCTTTCAAACGAGGTTTTGATTTTCAAATTCAAACCCAGTTTGTGAGGCAGACAAGAAACACACAGATTCTTTAAAGGGACCAAACAGAACTGAAGAGTGGCTTTTGAAGGCCACATTTTAAGATCAGGAAGTCATTAAAATAATTACCTAAATCTAGTTTAAAATACCTAACTGATGAAAAAATGATCCTTGTAGGTTGGAGCTCATACAAGAAAAATAACACCAATGTAAAATTGGAAAATAATGATAGAAGGGAAAGA